CCCAGTCTGTGAAGTGTTTTTCATGGCCATGAATTTGGTAGGGCCCTATTTATAAAGCTGGAGTTCATCTCAAAAGTAAAATATGGTGTTCCTCACGATTCCGCTGTAATTAAAAAGCTACACCCTTTAACTCATTCAAAATATTAATGCAGCATATTTTTAAATAATATTTTAATAGCTTATACGAAGTTTAGGCTTCAGCATCGTTTTCACTAATAAATTCAATTTTTAAAATAAATTTAATTAAACTACAAATAAAATCTGATTTATATTTATATTTATATTTATATTTATATATATATATATATATATATATGTTTTTACTTAATATAAAAAAAATCAATTTTTATCCACCCTGGCTTCCCTGGTGTACTCTAAAACAGTGTTTCTCAACAACAGTCTGTGGACTGGTTCTGGTCCCTGAGATCTCCCTCATGCAGTTTAGGAAGGCAGCAAGCCGTTCCCTGGTATAAAAAAGGTTGAGAAACACTGCTTTAGAAGATGAGCCAGTAATTGTTTCATCAGAATTTGGCAGATATTCTTGTTATGGAGAAGGATCTTTAGTCTTCAGTCACTGTCATGGAATGTTCTTGTGAAATTAAATCACTGTATATGACTTAGATCTGGTCTTCCTCTATTTCTCTCTCGTTCATCTGAAAACCATTGTAATGTTTGTGGGCAGTATGTTAGGGAGTGGTTGGGGACCATGTGTCAGTTGCTGTTGACAGTAGGAGATCAGAACTTTGCCATGACCCCTTGGAGGTAAAAGAATAGTCCCCACCCCCTTCTGATAAGGAGCTCTGGAAGCAGCTGGGTTCATGAGTTTTGGGATCATAACCAAGTAGTTAATTTTAGTTATAGAGGGAGAAGGCAGGTAAAGAGAGGTGATAATGGCTGGACCATAATAAATGTTTAAAGGCTATCGTCCCCCTGCTCTCCACTGGAGATTAGGTCTGTGTACCTTCTAAGGTATAACTTATTCCTGGGCCAGGAATTTCATTCTATAAGGACTCAAGGAGTCTTTTTGTAAAACAAATAATCAAGGTATGGCAGGTAAATGTGTCTTGCTGGAAAATACTAGTTCTTCAAGTGATGGTCCCTATGTAGATTCCAAACGTGGATGTACGTGTGTGCCATGCGCCGGAGACAGACGATTTCATAGCAGTGGCCGTTGACCTGCACACATCATGCATCGCCTCATGCTCCCGTCCGAGGTTATAATAGGCCCCTCTTACCACCACATGGCCGGAGTCGGAATTCCCGAGGGTTCCCCAGCTTCCAAGCTTCCCCGGATGGAGCATAAGGAGAAGCACAAACAGAACCTGCTGGTGCAAGCGCCATCTCCGATCCCAGCACTGGTGTGCCTGCTGCCTGCAGCACCTGGACTCTTGGGCGCTTCTTGATGAGGGCCACCTGGTGGCCAAGGTGGGTCTTCAGTCCGCCATGGACACAGCTTACATGGCTTCCTGCTCACTTGCTACTCGAGCAGTGGTGCAATCCTGGGTGCAATCCTCTGGGCTCCCCAAATAGGTCCAGACCACTGTAAAGGACCTGCCCTTTGATGCCCAAAAGCTGTTCAGAGAAGAGACTGACAAGTCCTTGTACTCCCTCAAGGCCTCCTGCACCACGCTCTGGTCTCTGGGCATCTATACTCCAGCTCCCAAAGGCAGACAGCAGCAACAACCACCATACAGGCCCCCTATCCACCGTATTATCATAGTCAGAGGGAGGCACTATGTCACCTACAGCGATCCCAGAGACCATGCTACTCCACCTCCGCCACAACCACCTCCTCAGCCCACCTCAGCAGCTGGCCAAGCACCAGTTTTGATATGCATATAGAGAACCACCACCCTCTCCTGCAGCACCCCATGTTGTCATCTTTGGGGGCTGCCTTGTTCTATTTGCCTGCAATTGGGGCAAGATCAACACAGACAGTTGGGTATTGGAGGTCATCCACAATGGATACACCATAGAATTCCTGGCATTTCCACACTGCCAGCCCTTACCCCAGATGTCCCCCAGAGATCCCTCCCATCAGAGCACCTTCCAGCAAGAAGCTGATGCTCTTCTCCCCAAAGGCGCCATGTAACTGATCCCACCTCCCTACAGGGGACTAGGGTTCTACTCCCCTGACTTCTTCATCCAGAAGAAGGGCAGAGGGCATCACCCTGTTCTGGACATCAGAGTACTCAACACCTTTATTTGAAAGCCCAAATTCCATGTGTCAGTTTATCCCATCCCTTCCCCGCAGAGTCTGGTTCTCAGCTCTCGACATGAAAGATGCCTATTTCTAAATCAATATTCACCTGGCCCATCAAAAGTTTCTCTGATTCAGAGTTGGACCTGGCCTCTATCCATTCAGGGTCCTGACTTTTGACATAGGGATAGCTCCACGAGTCTTCGCCATCATAGCCGCGCACACGCGCCATCTAGGGTACTCAGTCTTCCCTAACGTGGACAACTGGCTCCTTGTCTCGCGCTGCTGCTAAACCTTCCTCTTTGCCATCCACACCCTCCATGCTCGCCTCACCTCTCTTGGCATTTGTGTCAGCGAGACGAAATTGGTCCTCGTACTTATCCAGACCATTGCCTTCATTGGAGTATGGCTGGACTCTGCTGCTGCATGTGCCTTCCTTCCGACGAATTGCTTCACAACCCTAATCACGGACCCCTGCTGCAAGCTCCAGACCACTGTCCACCGTTCTCTCCCCTTCTTGTCCACATGACGGCATGTACCTCAGTGACACTGCACACCTGCCTCCACATGCGTTGCTTGCAACTCTGGCTCCTCTCCATCTACCAACCAATCACAGACCAGCTAGACAACAAAGTCTTGATCCTGTGGCAGGTGTTGGCATCCTTCACTGGTGAACCAACCCTTCCGAGGTCCTGATAGGTGCCCCCTTCGCCCTCCCACACCATGAGCCACGATCACAACAGATGCCTCCCTAGCAGGTGGGAGAGCTCACCTGGGTTGTTATACGGCACAGGGCATGTGGATGCCTTAAGAGGCCAGGATATGCACATCAGTATCCTGAAATTGAGGGCAACCTGTGTGACATTCCTCCTCCTCCTCCTCATCCAAACCAAGCACATCCAATTACTCTCCGACAGCATCACAACAGTGGTTTATCCTCCCCCCTAATGTTTGGCACTTCTGTATTCACACACCCTACCATAGTCTGCTTCCTAAGGGGCCTGCTCCACACCTTCCCCCCAGTCAAAAATCCCACGTTCTCATGGGACCTTTAATTTCATTCTCACCGCTCTCACGAAAGCACCCTTCGAACCCATGGCAAGATCCTCATTTTCACATCTCTCCCTGAAAGTAATCTTAGTGGTCATTACCTCAGCTAGATGGGTCAGTGAACAAGCGGCCATGATACCTGAGCCCCCATACACCATATTCCACAAAGACAGTGTCCTTGGGTTTACACCCTAAGGTGGTGTCTGAGTTCCACATCAATCAGTGTACGCACCTCCCAGTTTTCTACCCCAAACCTCATGTCTCCATTGCCAATAGACTCCCTTGACGTCCGCTGTGCGCTGGCATTCTATCTATAATGAACCCGTGACTTCCATGCCTCATCACAACTCTCTTTGTAGTGATTGTCGAACGATGCAAGGGCCACGTCCTCTCCTTGCAACGCATTTCTAAATGGGTCTCCGGGTGCATCTGTGAAAGCTACACGTTCAGCAACATGAGGCCACCTGATGTCATCATGGTGCACTCTATCTGGGCTCAAGCAGCTATGTCGTCCTGCCTCATTGATGTCGTCTGGCAACATGGTACCCTGTACATTCCTTCATCTCATATGACGCCATCGCCCACAGGGCAGTAGCAGATGCAGCAGCAGGCCAACCTGTATTACAGCCAACACTTTTGACCACATCACTGCTTGCTACTCATCCACATTTGGAATCTATATAGGGACCATCGCTCAAAGAAGAGGTGGTGGTTACTTATCTGTAACTGGAGGTTCTTTGAGATGTGTGGGTCCCTATTTGGATTCCAATATCTGCACTCCATCCCCTCTGCTCTTGACTGGAATACTCTGGTAAGAGGGTTACTGGAGAGGCATTGACTCACACAGCCTATTACAGTAAAAAAAAAAATTTTTAACTGTCATTCTGGGAGAACGGGGGGTGCTGGTAAATTAAAAATTCCAGTTAACTCAGAGGGAGGGGTTTGGAGTGCAGGGGGAAGGGGTGCAGGGCACGGGCATAGGAGGGGCTGCAGGGCTCTGGGAATCAGTTTGGGTCCAGGAGGGAGCTTGTTGGGGCATGGGAGGGGGCCCGGGGTGCTGGATGGGGGGGCCCTCACCTCTGGTGGCTCCCCGTCCCTGCTGCTGCTCCTGGTTGAGGCGCAGCCAGGCATTTCTGCAAGCAGGCACGCTGCCTCCATCCCCCCTCCCTGAGTGATGACTCCATGGCCCCAAGTCCATTGGCTGGGAACTGCAGCCAATAGGAGCTGCAGGGGGCGGCGCCTGCAGACGGAGGCTGTGTGCCTGCTAGCAGAGCTGCCTGGCTGTGCCTCCGCCAGGAGCAGCAGGGACGGGGAGCCGCCAGAGGTGAGCGCCGAGCCCCCTGCTGGACCCGCACCAACCGCACTATAAACTGGACTTTCAATGCAGATCAGAAATGCCAGTTTATAGAGTTTGCCAGTTCGTGAAGTGCCGGATAAAAGATCTTTTACTGTATAACCTCAGATGGGAGAACGAGGTGACTCACGACACATGCAGGGTAGTAGACACTGCTATGAAACATTCTGGTGCGTGCACACCTGCATTTGGAATCCAAATAGGTACCACACATCTTGAAGAACCTCCAGATACAGGTAAATATCCTCTTCTTCAATTTATCTTTAAAGAAAAGAATGTCTGTACAATTATTTACCGTTTGTTTACTGGGTCAGATAAGTTGCTAGCAATGTGCTTAATATAAGCATCAGCATTTTGGAAGCTGTTGTAATTGTCTTGTTTATTTGTGCTCTATAGGTGATAAAAAGAATGATTAAGTGCTGTTCTTTGCTCAACTGCCACACCCAGGTAAGCGTGTATTCAGGTGCCAGTTTAAATAAGGACTCTTTTTAAAAAACAGTCCATTTTAAGTCCAAACTCTCTCTTTAAAAGAAAAAAATTAACAAAATAAATCTGGTTTTAAAAATGTAAAAGTTTTGTTTATGTAAACATTCCCTGGCAGAGTTGGGAAACTAATCAAAATATTGTGATAATGCATCAGAACCAGCCAATGAAATTTTAGATCTGAACTCACTTAGTCAGTACATTAGTTGAGCTTCTCATGTTTTTAATCTTAAAATATTCATTTCCTTGCAATCTTTTCTCTTCCCCCTCCCCCCCCCGCCCCCTTCCGATTTAATGCCCAGTCTAGCAGCTGGGGAATGCAATGGGATTTGTATTATGGGGGTACATCCTTGCCAGGGCTGGAATCAGACTCTGCTCAACCTAATAACCACACAGGGCAGTCTAGCCTAGTCTAGAGATCAGTGGGCTGAGCAGGAATTCTAACAGGGCTGCACCCAAAAGTATCTGGATCCTTCTTGCTGAAAGAAAAAAAACCTGTCAGCTAGAATGAACCCACCCTCTGGAAAAGTAAGTTAGGATTAACCAACTCTGCAAAGACCGATGGCATGTCACCCTCTGTCTCCTCCTCTTCCCCCTTCTCCCCCCATGAGTTCCTTTTACCCTTCCCAGAAGAGTTCATGACTTGCAAGCATTTTTTTTTTAATCTGCACCTAATCAGTATATCTCTTGGAGCTACACCAAGCTATTATCCTGGTGGGGTGGAATAGAAGACTAAAAATAGAGAGTTGTTAGCAGGTCTGACTGACCTTTTCCCTCCTGCATGGTGTACTGTCACCTCTGCAGTCTGCTGGTATTACTCTGGCTTGAAAGGCTGTATTATGCCCTTAATTGGAGCAAAGCTACTTTCATAAAGCTTAATTTACTGTCCTTGTCTCTGATATTTTGATTCATTCTGCAAACACTAAGTTTAGACTACTGAGAAGCCATTTACTATGAAAACTAGATGTAATTATTAAATTTCCCACATAGTGGAGAAACATTTGTCCAGTATTTCAGCATGAAAAGAGACAAGCTTTAAGGAAATAAGTTACAGTCTTTCTCCCTACAGGTAGCAATTTTATGTCAGTTCCTCAGAGAAATAGACTATAAAACAGCATTTAAGGCACTCCAGGAACAAAACAGGTAAACATATTTATGTTTAAAACTAAAATTCTGTATGTATTCCATGAATTAATTGATATTCTCTTTCAGCCATGATGCTATGGATTCTTACTATGACTACATCTGGGATGTTACCATTTTGGAATACTTGACATGTATCCTTTCATTAGAAATAGTTAAAGAAAAAGCAGCTTGTGGGGTCATGTTGAAAAACCAACACAAAGCTTAAGTGTATTGACAGTTGAGTTGCTGTTAAGTTTTGTGCTAGAACACGTAGATGTAAATAGGTTACTCCTAAGGCAATTCTGGGCCTAAAACTTGAGCACACAATATTTTAAAATTTTGCAAAATTCTGCAAGTTTTGTCAATAAATAAATATGGCTCCAGCATGGCAGTGGGGAGCATAGGCCCCTGGCTGCATTGAGATGGGAGATCACCCTGAAGCCCCCAGCTCCCCTGGTTACAGGGACTCTGCAGTAAGGCTGCACCTGACCCTGACACAGTGCAAGGGATGGGCCTGCCCCCTCTGTACCGGGTGAGGGGTTTCTGTGGGGGGCAGTCCAGATGCACAAGGATTTAATGGGGGGGGGTTTCTGGGTGCAGGGGATCCAGGTTTGGGAGGGGGGGGTGTCTGGGTGTACAGGGGTAGGGTTTATCAGGGTGAGGGTTTGATGGGCCTGCTTAACAGCAGAGGCCGAGTTGCTGCTGAGAGGATGCTGCAGGCTGGGCTCCTACTTCCCCTATTCCCTTTTCTTCTCCATCCCCTTCCTCTCACTCCCCCCTTACCCAGCCTGACTGTGGGCACTCTGTTGCACAGAGAACAGGAAGGCTCCCAGCACACACAATGGAAACATGACTGGCCTTAGAACCCATGTGGTGGTGGTCAGCTACAGTGTCAGTGGAGCCCAAATGCAGCCTCCTTCAGTTGGGCAGCTCTGTGCTTGCAGAAATGGGGGTGGAGGGAGAGAGACAGGGGCATGTAATGCTGTGTGCCCCCCATACTTCACCTGTTTGGAGGGGGCAATCCTGCCAAAAAACTGCACCCATGTTTGCCCCCCACATGGCTTCCCCTTTGCATGACTGCAGAAAACAGGGAAGCAAAGTCCCCCCCCAGGAGTAGTCATCATATTGCCTTGGGCAGGTTGTCTAGGTCTGCTGGGGTTGAAAGGAGGAGCATCTATACTACTACTTGCTGGCACAGCATGTATAGAGCTTTTGACCTGACTTGAACTTGGGTAGAAAAGTAATTTTTAGTGTCCAATTCTATGACTTGCTCAGCCATTAACAGAGCAGTTATTGCTCAGAAAATACTATGCAAATGTCTTGCATTTTAGATCACAGCTCATTTGTAGTGTTGCTATATTACACATGAATACTTTCCTTGACTCTTGTTCAGATCTCCATCATAAAAGAGGAGAGACAGACAAGAGACAAATAGCAGTAAGTTAAAGAAAGGGAGGGGTTTGGTGCTAGGGATTTGTTAGCTTTGAATTACATCTTACAGTTTTGTTCAGTCTTCCACAGCCCAGCTGTAACTATGAAGGTGACTGTTGATGTGAACTCTGGAATAAGTATTCACTTTATAAAGTGAAATATACTTGCTCTCTCTTTAGACTAAGGCAGAAACTGTCTTGTAACTAAACCTTATTGTTCACTTGTACTAGAAAGTCTTGTTTTTTGTACTTTAAGATTAAAGCTATTGGCCAGACAGAGCTGAATGCTAGCAATCCAGAGGAAGTATTGCAACTTGCTGCACAGAGACGAAAAAAGAAATTTCTTCAAGCAATGGCAAAACTTTACTTTTAAACATTCCTATAAATGCTGGTGTAGAGTGGAAAATATTTCACTTTATTTAAGTTGTGTTGAGTATTTGAAATTTTTATACAATACATATTTACAAGCATATTGTGTGGTTTTTTAAAATAGATGAAATATTACAAAACCATTATCTTACAAAATTGTACAGAAGATCTGGAATACTCACTCAAGTAATGCTTCTTTTAAAAAAAAAATCAATTTGAAGCAATGAGTTCAAGCTTCAGCTAAGTTAAACTAGTAGAGAATGCTGAGTTTAATACAGTTTACTAAGAATATGTACATTAGAGGCTATTAATTGTGATGGTGTGTGCTCAGAATAAGCACAGCTCAGACATTGCCAGCAAGAGTCTTGCTTTAAGTTCTATAAAATGTTTATACTCTACCTTACTGAAGCATGTAATTCCTCCATTGTTCAAAAAGATGCTGGAGCAGCTCCTCATGGCAGGAGCAGAGGTAGTGAATAGAGTGGTGGTTAATGCTGTTTTAAACATTGATACCTGCACAGTATGGGGTATTAAAATACTGCTTCCACTTTGAGTGGCTGTAGACTTCTTGCAGTCAAGGTGTACTCTTGTTAAGAGCTCTACATTTAAAAGGGGCCATGTCTAGATCTTAATATGTAGTAGAATATTTTCTCTTCGATTACTTTTCCAGTTAAATTACTTCAGCAGCAAATTGTTACTTTTACCTGAGGTTAAACTTAGCACTTAAAACAAGTTCAGGTTAGCACCTCTTCAGCAGCCCTCCCCCCAAAGCAATCTGTCACTTTACTTAGGCCTTGTCTAGATGGAGGATTTAATCTAGCCCTACCCCTCTAAAGATGCTATTTTGGCCTTAGAAGTTCATCCCCCTTGCACCAACATCAAGGTAGATAGGCAAAGCTGCTAAATGCAGTCAGATTAAATTTCCAACTCAGACATGGCCTTCAACTTTAGATATTGCAAGTACCACACACAAACTAGGAATAAGTGGCATGGTGACAGGTGACATCAGTTTGTGGGCTGCTTTTGTTTTGGTTGAACTCAGATTTAAAAGGTGACCATACCAAGAAAATAGTCACTATAGTATTAGGGAATTTGTACACACTGTTGCTTTAAGGCGCAATACATAGCTTTGTTTCTCCTGCTATCCAACAAGATGTTGTTTTAAAACAAGTTCTCAAAATCCATAATGGAAAAAATTCATAATTTAAAGACTGGTTAAATTAATATTCCTACTATAGTAGAGATTAAAAGCAGAAGGGACCAAATGATCTAGTCTAACCCCCTGCATAACCTAGGGAGGGATGGGTGTTGTGTAACAAGTCTGAAGTCTGCACAAGGCCAAGCTATCCATTATTCAGTTTGACATGTCTTTTTCTGCCTCACAACATCCTGTGTAGCAGTAAGTGTTCAAGGATTAGATTGAGTCTCTGCTTTAGGGTAGCTCTGTACTGAAGCAGTGTCCTGCTTTGGAGTTTCTACCAAAGAGTGTTCATTGCATATGTCTTGTCAGTGGTTTCCATACTTTCACTTTTTCTCTGTGCTTTTGGGGGGTGTTATTATTCCTCCTATACACCCTGGAGATAACTGTCCTGGTGCTGTTAGAGCTACTCCACAATTTACTTCATCCTATGTAAATTGGAAAAACAAAAACAAAAAAAAGTTAAAGTGGATTTCACATCTTCATTGTATAAGGGTTTGTGCTTAGTTCAAGGTTCTGTCTTCCAGTGAGGTACTACAGTTACTATCTTAAGGAAATATCTGGGATATTTAAATATAGTAGTCTTTTAGTCCTTACCTTCTTAATATGGGATTAGAAAGGAGAGGGAATTGAAGATAAATTTAGGTATTTCAAGTGCTTGAGCACCTCAACCTACATTGAGAGACTTTGACAATTTGAATACAATGACCAGTGTCTACTCTTTTACAACTTCAGGTACAAGTAAAATGGGATTACAATTATGGGAGTAGTTTCCTTCTGCAAACATGGACTTATACCATCACCATGTCCTTAAGTGGTTGGCAAAGCACATCAGTGCTTTAATCTGGCTATGTCGGTGCTAGGACCATTTTACTAGAATACTAGACTTGGTTAAGTTGCATATTGTAGCAGTATAGTAAATTTCACTCACATGCACACACCTTCATTAGTGAAATAAACTATACCAGTAAAAGTGCAATCTTAGCTGTGCCAGATGTCCCATTGATAGGCCGGTCGGGGTCAAGGGTAAGATGACATGTAAACACCTGGCCCTACTGTCAACAGTACTTTTGAAAAAAGTAATCAATGCTGTTCCACAGATAACATTCTTAGCAACTCTGCCTGCGGGAGTGTGACAAGGTAGTATAGGCCCTGTCCATACAGCAGATCTTAATGAAATGTGCCACATTATAGCCAGGTGGGAGATACAGTCATGAGCCCTAGCTATTTTGCTCCTCCCAGGAGCTTAGGGTGGTCTTCCTGCTGCTAGTTCAGCATCCTTTTGCAGGGGCAGACATACTCTTCACCATGTTTGTGTAAACAGCCTGGCCTGTCATCCTTCCCCCAGCACTTGACAGCCTTTGCTACATATATAGATGTGGAGTAACTGGCTGTTTATCTTCCAGGTATATTACAGATGACCTGCATGTTTTCCCTATGTTACAGTGATACAAGCAAGGTTTGATGGGGGGAGAAGGGGAGGTGGTGGGAGAGTGAATCTCTCTCTCACACACACACACACACCCACCCACCCACCCATGGTACTTGCCTCTAGTCAGCTAGAACGAGTGGTTTTCAACCTGTGGTCTACAGACCCCTAGCAGTCCACTAACTAAGATTTTTCAAAGGGGGCCAATTCATCCATTTGAAATTTAAGGGTCTGCAAATGAAAAAAGGTTGAAAACCACTGAGCTAGACCAATAAATATGTGGACAGAGCCTTAGGAACTATACTGTTCTCCCACCCGTTTTAAGCTTAGGCATCATACAAATCAGTGTTTGATATACAGACAAAAAACACCAAGTAAGGCCATACCAGCATGTCCAAGTAGTTTGTGTGGGTTTGGATATTATGTCTGTCTTCCACTGCAACCTTCTTAAAACTCTTCAATTTCACAGGGGCTTTTCTTGCCACCCTAACAAAAGGATCCATCCATGCTACACATTCTGAAATGCTGTTCCAATCTAAACCTAAGGAGAAAATAAAATATCAGCTTTAGGCATTGTGCAGCTAAACCTAGTTGTGTATCCATCCCCTACCCAGCATTCTAACATGGTAAATGAGAGGCTAAATTAGTTTGTTTCCACTTTCCTGTGCTTTGTGCATATCTTTATTGATATAGTGTTGGCTGCATATTTAAAATTAGATTAAAAAAACAAAAGCTACCTAGAATGACTTGTTTTCAGCCTGCACTATCACTTAGCAGACCAAGTTTTGTCATATAATCCCAGTGAATTAAGATAAACATTTAGTTTTACTCAAGGCCCAAACCATAGTTAATGGCTATCAAAAAGCCGTAAGAATGTGTATTAAAGCAGCTATGACATGTTGCCTTGTTTAGCTTATGAACAATAATCGCACTCCTAAACATCCCCCCTCCCATAAGGCTCAAACTTTTTCCACTGGCCTTCAGTAATAGACTAGATGTGGAATCAGCAACCCTGGACATGCTAAGAGCCACTGCTCTGTGTAGGTCTTTATAGAAGAGCATCACTGGGAAGGTACAAGATCCAATCAGTTTCATGCTCTTTTATTAGAGGGGTAGCAGAAAATGGGAAAGTAATTAAAATCCAGTAAAAAAATATGATGAAGAGTAAGGCAGTCCTGTAGTATTCCACTTTTCTCAATATTTGCCAATGTTTGGTACCTTATATAAAGGGGTAGGTTGGCACCTCTAACAAAGTTAGATTAAGCTACTGTGGGGAATAACCAGGGTCTCACAGCAGAAAATAAGGTGAGTTCCTGGCCTAGAACATCTACCAATTATAAACTCTTATTTTTATCATTTACTTTACAGCTGGCCTGACAGGAAAAATCTGATTTTAGGGGGGAAGAAACATCTGTGGTAGCCAACAGTCTACAACAGTAACAAATTGGGACCCAAATATTCAGATGCATCAGTGCTGCAGCTTCTGATTCACTTTTCCTTTATCAATATCACTGTATTAGTCTCATGCACAGGGATAGGAGTAATCAGACATCACTGTATCAAAATAATCTTGCTACATTTTTCAAGTTATCCCTTGCATAAAGATGAATCCTATTATTGACAAAGGCATACCATCATGTGGGTTTTATTTGTGTTGACTCCCACAAAACATGCTCATGTAAGGTTAAGTCACCAAAACTCCCCAACTTTTTAGCATTACCTAAAATTACTGTTTGTCCTTTCATATCAACCTATTTCTACTATGTCCAGCCACTCCACTTCAGAATCCTTTGCTTCAAGAGGACAGGTTGATAGGAATCACCACCAAAGTTTTTATCCTGGACTGCTGTTGTCAGTCAAGAATGACTGGTTATAAACAAATCACCTTCCCCAGGAAGAACTAGATACAGGCTACTGGAGCCAGATCATAAACTAATAGTGATTGCTGTTGAATTTTTAGTTTACAGAGCAGCAGCTACAGAAGCAGCAGCAGACCAGGAGCAACAAAATATCCTGTTATATTTCCAGATACTTCACCTCAGAGGCACAACAATTTTGTGCTTCCAGTGGTTGTGACCCTAACATAGCATGGGGTGCAAGTGAATGAGGAATCTGAAAAATAAAATGGATCCAAAACTGAATCTATTTTAAATTGATCAAGTTGAGGGGGGAAAAAATTAAGTAAAAAGCATGCTGTTAAAAGCAAGGTAGAGATGGACATAGGAGACGGAAGTGTTGAGAGTCTCTGGGTTAGGCTAAAAGGGGTAAAAAACAAGGGTGATGTCATGCTAGGAGTCTACTACAGGCCACCTAACCAGGTGGAAGAGGTGGATGAGGCTTTTTTTAAACAACTAACAAAATCATCCAAAGCCCAAGATTTGGTGGTGATGGGGGACTTCAACTATCCGGATATATGTTGGGAAAATAACACAGCGGGGCACAGACTATCCAACAAATTCTTGGACTGCATTGCAGACAACTTTTTATTTCAGAAGGTTGAAAAAGCTACTAGGGGTGAAGCTGTTCTAGACTTGATTTTAACAAATAGGGAGGAACTCGTTGAGAATTTGAAAGTAGAAGGCAGCTTGGGTGAAAGTGATCATGAAATCATAGAGTTTGCAATTCTAAGGAAGGGTAGAAGGGAGAACAGCAAAATAGAGACAATGGATTTCAGGAAGGCGGATTTTGGTAAGCTCAGAGAGCTGATAGGTAAGGTCCCATGGGAATCAAGACTGAGGGGAAAAACAACTGAGGAGAGCTGGCAGTTTTTTCAAAGGGACACTATTAAGGGCCCAAAAGCAAGCTATTCCGCTGGTTAGGAAAGATAGAAAATGTGGCAAAAGACCACCTTGGCTTAACCACGAGATCTTGCATGATCTAAAAAATAAAAAGGAGTCATATAAAAAATGGAAACTAGGACAGATTA